ATATTCTTTCAATCTAAATATTGAGGGTAAGTGATTCGTATGAAGTGAAGGTGTCTACTCTCTCTCTTTCTCTCTCAAAGTACCCAACCCAGGGTTTCCAATTCTAACATAGTATCATAGCGTTGTTCAACCTTCTCCATCATTTTTCATCAGCATAATCAATCTCTCATCTCATCACCATCTCTAATTTTATACAAGCTCTATCTTCTTCGATTGTCGCCTCCTTGAGATATGTCATTGTCCCCTTCTCTAAACAATATCACAGCCATCCGTCTAAATATCTTGACATCTGCTGGTGTTTCTCTCCCTTACTATTGGAATCACCTTCCATCTTTTTCTACTTACTCTCTCACTCATCTAACATTTCTCTCTCTCATCAAAATTCCCCTCTTTACCTCATTTTCTTCTTCCTCTTTATCTTTCATCTCATAACGTCAATCTTCCTCTCTCATAAAAGTTGGAGGTGTTTGTCTTCTTCTTTAAAAGGTGAACATTGTCTTCTTCTTGGCTATTTCCATCTATCAAAAAGAAAGTGGTACTAGTGTTTGTCTTCACCTTACCTGGTCTTTCACTTCTTTCACCTTACCTATTCTCTCTCTCATCGTCTTTGGTAGCTCTAAAGGAACTTCGGCTACACTTGTATCGATCCTATCTCTAGAAGGCTCAACAAACTTCAGCACTATAGATACCAAAGTAATTCCTGAAGGGTCCAACAATAGTTCGGTTGTCTAAGTTCCGAAGTTGTTTTTGTCCAACAGTACTTCGGCCCTCTAAGTTCCGAAGTTATTTCTGGAATTTGGATTTGCAAGTGGCTTTAGGTTCCAAAGTAGTTTCTGAAAACAGTTTTAGTACCAAAGTAATTTTGAATATCTTCTGAAACCTCATTCTAAGTCATGGCTTCACTAAAATTTCCATCTTTTATATCTATTAAACTGAGTTGAGACAAACTACCTCAAATAGAAGGCCCAAGTCTTGAATTGTATTGAAGGTTTAAACGTCGAAGGTCATCTTGATGGGTCTAGTCGACCACAAAGTGAGTATATTCTCGAGGGACCAAAAGAAATTGATGATAACAACTCTGAATTGCTAAAGGATCCCACCAAGAGAGAAATTAATCCTAAAGCTTTAGAATGACAAATGAAAGACAAAACATTATTGAGTTAGCTACTGTCTACTCTTTCAGATAACTTGCTTATTGAGGTAATGCACTTGAAGACATCGCAAGAAGTCTAAAAAACTATATAATACATATCAAAGAGAAACCTTTGCCAATGTCCTTTAGGTCAAGACTGAATTGATCAATTTACAAAGAGGATCTCAATCAATGACTGAATACTTAAATAAGTTCAAAACCATATAAGACCACCTTGCAGCAATCGATAGTACAATGAGTGATCAATATATGGGTTTTTATACACTCAAAGTTCAGGTACGGGTCCGGGTCTCTCCCTCTAGCCATGTAGGAGCAAAAATCAAGTACAAGTCCAAGTCCCGGGTGGAAAGTGTTCCCTCAGGTACAACTACAGATACTCAAATTTTGGACCTATCAAGTACGGGTCCAAATCCAGATACACTGTTCTATTTCGAGTCCAAGTACAAGTCTTACTAGACCGGCCCTAAGCAAAGCAGATAATGTAGATTCATGATTTACATCTAGGATAAATAGGAAACCTCTCTACAAGAGAAGTTTTTCTTTTGACCGTGCAACTTTTCCCATATTTGTTTCCTAGAAAAGTGGCGCATGAAAGGAACATCGTCATACGATGAGAAAATTGCTTCATACTTTACATGGTGCGAAGCCAATTTCCCCTCTCGAAAATCTTTCCTATATATGGCTTTCCACCAGAAGATAAAAAACATGCCCCAAGTATTTTAAAGGTAAGATCTAAAAACTATCCCAGGAAAAGCTTTACGGGCTATCGAACGTTCAAAAAGGACACCCAATTAAAATAGGAAACAGAGTGCAAAAGCGTTTTCTTTTTTAAGTCAAATTTAGAATTTCATGTTATTTTTAAATTTTCTAGATCACCTAAATTATGAATCTCCATTAATTCGGATTCAAAATCCATCTTTAACATGGACTTCAGAGGAAGACACACGTACATAGATGAGTAAGCAGGCTCCTGGAAACCCCATCGGTGCAGGGACAAGAACAAACGAACAAAAATTAAAAGAAAAATAAATTAATAAGGCCCGCCAGGCTGGGCCAGGCCAAACTGGGCCAATACCGGCCTTAGCCTGGCCCTCAGGCCACATTTCATGGCCCAGGTCCAACTTTTTGGGCCCAGGCCACCGGCCCCACTGCCAGCCCTATCTGATAGGGGATATGCATGTTTAAAACAACTTTTAACTTTCTATACCATCTCACTCTGCAATTGATACGTTGAACAAAAATTCAAAATCTGGAATACCCCCGGCTTCCCCCTTTAAAAAGACCCTTGGGGGGTTAAAGAAAATTCATGGATCATTTAGCCAGAAACAAAGAAAAAGAATCAATTACTCAATTAATACAAAACGCAGCCCTAGGATTTTACTCATAGCTCTGTGATACATAACTCTCTTTCTCTGAACCCAAAATCATTCGCCGGAATTCCTCCACTTACCCTAATTCTAACAGAAAAAATGCCCCTCAATAGTATCCGTGTTCAACTCCCTAGCTCATGATTCACCAAAAAAAAACCCTCTAGCTCATACAAGCAGAGTCTTGAACGAAACGAAATAAAACACACTCATACTAAGACCAGCAGAAAACCCAAGGTTGGCAGATACCAGCCATGGCCTTGCTATACACTCTACCTGATGCAGAAGCAACATATACAAACTAAACCAGAAAAAGGTTACATATACCCAAATAAAGATAAATATTGCTATATGTTATTTCTCCTGTACGATAGAGAGCGACCGAGAAAGAGAGAGAGAGAGAGAGAGAGAGAGAGAAGAGAGAGTGTCTCATGAAGCGCCATCATCATCTGAGACAAATGAACCAAGGGCACCGTCTCTATACACCTCAAATTCGCCAAGGCTCCATCGGCAAATGAGGTGTAGCCGGAATGTAGCCATCTCAAGCCCCAACAGACGCTGCAACCCAAACACGACAAATCAGCTTTGAAACATGTAGCCAGAATGGGCATTCCAATTATACAGAGGATTCATGCATATAGTGTTGATGACTCTCATTCTCGTGATTCCTCTGGCAAGGTGATTAGTTGAGAGATTTGCAAAAGCTCGTCTCAAGAGATTCTCAAGAAACTTTCAAATAATAAGAATAGCAATAAAAGAAAAGGCCAAAAGCTTTAAAATAAATGAAGAGAAGTTACTTTCCCTATACATAATTCCCTTTAAAAAATCCTGGTTTATATAAATTAACTGCTTTTCTGATAGTTTTTATAAAACGTTCCTATGATATAAGAAAGTAATAGTCCATTGGAAGATAGTACACTCCCCTTTATGACTTTGGAACTTGTGAAGTCATATTTGTCTTACTCATATTTTTCAAAGAAATACAGGAACAACCCCACAGTTCAGGAAAATATACTTTTTCCCCCTCTTTTACATTTTGCAAGATTTCCTGGAAAAAAAAAAGTAATGGGAAAGTGAGAGAGATAAACTAAACAAACCAGTATGCGAGCAGATTCAGGCGATATGGGCTTTCCTTCTTCACACACGACAAAGTCCGCCACTAGTTCCAATGTACCTGCACCCTCGGAGTACGACTATAAATCAGCTAGCCCAGGAAAAAAAGTATAAATAACTTAACCCTCACCAATCAAAAAAAAAAAAGATTCATGAACCCCCTCCCCCAAAAAAGTTTAACCAATTTATTAAATAGTGGAGATATATGCATCTTAGAGAGAGAGAGAGATGCTCACCTTTATTCAAGCGAACAGGCATTCCCTGCTTACGCAAGAATGGCTCCATCTCGTGTGTGAACTGCTCAAGAGGGCCTTCTTTCAGCTCGACCTGAAATGCATGAGCCTGTTTATATCCGCATTTTACTTTACATAACAGCTTCAAATCACAGATCAGATACAGCCTGTATATATTTCTGTATAATTTCACATACGTTATGTATGACACGTAGGTAGATCCTTATATTTCATTTTCATAAATAAAAAGCAAAAGAGCTCAAGTAAGACATGGTAAGGAAATTATAATGTACTACAATGGATTATGGTGTGTGGCAGTCCAAGGTCATCCAATGAAATTTTGGCACAAGTACACGCAGATTATGCAGCAAGATACCAGAAACGTTGGGTTTGGATCATTAGGCAGCAGTGAGGAATGATCCCGATATAAACCTATGGTAGAATATATAGAAGAATTTGCTACATATATATAATTATCACAAAAAGAAAGCAATTATCTTGATTAAAAACAAAGAGAGAGAGCCATCTGTGGCCTGCCACTGATCCCCGCAAAGGGGCCTAATAGCAAGGCAAAGGTACACAACCTAGCAGAAAATTCAATGCTCCCTAGACCCTAAACTACTGGCCCTTGAATGAAGTGCCAGTAAATTCATACCACAAACCATCTGATGATTTCAATAAAACAATGAATGCTTTAGTGAAACATTAAGTAATATGGTTATTACTTATTAGTAGTTTGGAAGGCGAAGCTCTTATCATTGTTAAGAAGGAATGCTCTTATTTAGGATGCTCTTATCGAATATTCTCTTCCACTACACATCAATTTTCATCATGTCCTCAGATGAGATAAGAATCCGAGAAGACCGATAATCTAGCTGCATCAAGGGGAGAGACTTCATTTCTTTCGTCCCTTCCATATTTTTCTTCTAAGAGAACTCAGATTAGGCATGGACATCGAGAAACGGGTGGTTTAGGTACTATGAAGCTGAAGGGAATCAGCCTGATCGTATAGACTTGCTAGGTTTGTTTCAAATAGATGATTGAAAGTAAAAAAGTTCCTCTATTGGTAACTTTATTATTAGTTGCACATATGTTCAGTTATTTGGATAAAGGAGAATTCTTCTACTATAAAAATATATACATTCAAGGATTCTGCTCATAAAAATTTCAATCTAGTGATCCTGTAAAGCACAACGGAATAAGAATTTCTTTTATCCAGTGTCAAACAAGGATAATTTCAGGTCATTACCGTTTCTTTTGCAACAGAACCAGTCCTAGCAAAGTCATGTTCTTCATAGGCCTCAAACAAGCTGGAATAGAAATATAAGAATAAGTTCCAAAAAGAATTCTTTGAATAATGGAATAAAAAGTCAAAAGTATTTCATTTAAGAATGAACAGAAGTACAATAACATGTCAAATTTAATAACTTAAAGTATACATTGCAATGAGAAGATCATAATAAAGAATATAATGAATAAGAAAATCGCAAAAGAAATTGTTCCCAAGGACATAAGAAATTATTCAAAATGAGTCATTAGTCAATTTATTAACAATTGAAGGCAAACCAGTTCTCTTTCTAATGGCACAAGCCACCGTATACATGTACACTGCTAGGCATAAAGGAGCCATTGCTATTCTACAGTCTTCTTTGGACAAAAATCCAACAATCCCATACTAAAAGGAAGCACAAACAAATCCAGCCCAAAAGAATCAAAATTTGTGCATCTAAAATTAGTTCAACATGCTGATCACTTGTTCCTATACATGAATGTCTTCGTTTGTGATGGAAGCAACTAGATACAGACTGTTAAACAAATCAAGCGAAATTAAGCATGCCGTATTTCTCTCCATTCCATTGTTGAATGCAGGTGGATAAAGCCAAAATCTACATATACTTCAAGTCGAGGCTAATAGACATCCTCTTGCATCATACCGTATAAAAACACATCAAGATGGAAAAGTGACCACATACAAGAACAAGAACACATATTAGAAATGATAATATCAATCCTACCTAGAACACAAAAGGTCTCATAACAATCAACTCCACGAATCAATAGAAGACTTTGGTCACCAAGAGAACTCCATATTATTCAATAGGTTAGAGGCATTGAATGAGTTAGATTTCAAAGACACAGGACACCAAGCTTTGGTTTAAAGCAGAGGGCCTAAGGTCCAAGCCTAGATCATCTATGACATATTGAATTCTTCATTTGTACTCATTAGAATGGCAGCAGATTTGGAGACCATGTTCTTTATTGTTGGATGAATTTGGTCAGAAGAGTTTCACGCTCCACAGAGGAGCATCCATAAGTATGCATCAGACATTAGATAAAGATAAAGAACACAATCCATGATGGTAAAATCATGACAAAAAATGGCTCATAAAGGAAGTATCAAGATTAGTCACAAAGGTTAATGATATGGACAACATAAGCCATAATTCTACTTTGACCAAATAACGAACAAAAAACCAGAAATAAAGGAGCCTGTGATTTTCACCAGGCTAAGTCAAATCTTAAGAAGGCAGTCAAGCAACAATTGCGCATTTACTGCATGTTTTTCACATTATTGTAAAACTAAATCCAAAGTTCATAAGGCCCATTTGCTATTTCTTACTGTTCCATGCATGAAATAGTAACGCCTAGGAAATCTAAAACAACCATAGCACAAATGCAGTAAAATATTTGCAAGTTTACCTCTGGACTTTGTCTTTAGGAAGATTAGTACAAACAAGGCCAGTGTTTCCTTGAAGAAACTGCAGACAAATTTTAGAAATTTCATAAGGTTAATGTTACTGTATACAGTTATGCAAAAAGTCGATCTTATTCACAAAACGATATATACACAGATACATAACCGAATTTACCTTTTGTTGTGAATAATGGAACTTACATATAAATAACTTAACTTACCTTGGAAACTTCATGAATGCCTTCTTTGACTTCATCCGCAGCAGTTCGTCCCAAGGCAATTTGCATAACTTTATTTGAGCCAAGGAAAAATCTGAGAAGTGATGGATGCATTATTGAAATAAAATAAAATGTTTAATCGAATTGTTGAACAAAAATAGATCCATTTAAATTTTATTTATAAGCAGGAGTACAAGATTTATCTCTATAGGCATTCCAGTCAAATGGACTTGAATTAGCTGCTGTTAAGACAAACAACACCTAAACCATAAATTATATTAAAGATCTTCAATTTCATGAAATCAAACTCATTTTCCAGGCGGCGGAGAATATCTTTTGAGCCATTTGATCATGTTGATGGAGTTGAATTCGATAAGAGTAGAGCCCTAAACTCCTTGTCGGAAATTTTAAACCTAAAAGAGGCAAAAGGTAGTTTATTGCCCAACAATGTTTATCATATCTCTATATCCAACATTTATCATGAAACACTCAATTATTCCCTCTTTGCAGATACCCTTCATAGAGGCTTGGAAAGCTGCCCACACAATACTTATACCCCTCCTGCTGCATTTCATGCCACCTCATTTTTGCACTGTGCCACTAACAAAGAGAGAGCAAATATATCATACAGAAAAAGGGAATGATAAACATCTTGGAGGCTTAAAGGGCTATAAATATAAATGCACATTGAGGATATTAAAGAGTGTCAGAGGTTTATTGCAGTAATATCAGAGGTTTATTGCAGGTAATGGTCAGAGATGGTGCTTTTTAAATAAAGTTAACGATAATATTTAAAAGTAACAAGAGTAACAAGAGTAATGGCATCCCCCTGGTTGGGCGACCCATACATTTCAAAATGAGATATCTTTAGCACTCTATACAAAAAAGTGGTTGGATAACCCATTAGAATAGTATGAACACAAAAAATACAGGACTGCAGCTCAAAAAGTTGCCAAAATGGTCGTCATTTCTAGAGTTGGCTCTGTGTTTCGCAACGCTATGAGCTTCATGGTTTGCCTCGCACCATGTATGCTGCTATGAGATGTGTACTGGCCTGCATAAATCAAAATTTGGTCAAAATTATGCTTTAGTCGCCATGGGCAGTTTGATGCTCGTGATGCTGGATGACTTCTTGAGAGTCGCCCTCAACTACTACATGGGTTGTCCATTCTGGATTTAAATCTTTTGATGCCCTCCATAAGGGCATGCCTTGGCTGTTGTGGATTCAATGTGGACAACAGACCCCGAACAAGAGAGTAGGGCCCTTCATTCCTGATCTTTGAAATGGCCACGATAGCCCGCCGGACCTGGGTTACCAAGAGGGAAACGATCAAAGTTGAGCTTAATGTGGCCTTGATCTAGGGAATTCCATATTGAAGACCTAGGGATTTGAGTAGGTGTGATTTCTTGCAAGGGCCGGCCAGTTGAGAAGGAAATTTGTGGTTGCCTGGTGTTTGAATTCCTGTTCGTTGCCAAAAGATACAAAGCGTTGATGCAATCCTTTAATACATAGGCTGTATTATTTCCCTTCAGAGGTTCTAGAGTTTCTTTCGATCCAAATCACCCATAAAGTGGCCGCAACTGCTGCTCTCCAAAGGATTAGGCCAGCAGCTGGAACCTTTTTTTGGTTGTTTTTTTTTTTTTTTTTTTTTCGGGGGGGTGTGGGGGAGGGGGGAGGAGGAGAGAATACCCTAGGAAAACGTGTGGGATAGATGGCAGCATTACCCATAACCAGTTGAAGAGTTGTATGAGGTTGGCCCACATCCAAGAAGCCACCACAATGTATGAAGAGGAGTTCAATGGTTTCCTCTGCTGATTTGCGTGACACATTTGGAATAGGAATACCCCTTGTAGCTGGCCTCAAGTGAGCACTCTCTTGGATATTGCAATCCAGCAGAAAACTTAGATGTGTGGGGAGATGTATGAAGCCAAGCTTTGTTGGCTATAGAAAAGGACAAGTGGGGGAAGGTCGTTGGTTGAAGGGGTTTGCGATAGAAAGATGTGACTGTAAATTTTCCAGAACGAGAAGGCATCCAGATGATGTCATCTCACCTATTATAGGTATGGAGACTGGTTGTAGGAGAGCTGAGAGTGTCTCGAATCCAATTTCATGGTTTTTCTGCACCCTTCTGAAATTTGGGCTCCATACCCTTGACACCCCTAGAGGTCCAAATAGATCAGCCATCATGGCCTCCCTATTCATGGCCAAAAGGAAGAGACTATGGAAGTGGTCTTGATGAGTTGTGTTACTGATCCATAAGTCAGTCCAAGACTACTCCGGAGCGGAATCTTACCCTAAGACCAAATATAACTCTGGAGGCAATCCAAAGTAGCAACCAAAGAACGCCACACCCCAAAGAAAGTTCATTTGAAGTGCCACCAGGCGACAAAGAGTAGGCTTCACAATGGTATTTGGGTCAAACAACTTCCTGCCACAGGTGGTTCTCTTGAGTAGTGAAGCACCACCACCATTTTTCAAGGTGAACCATGTTGCACTGTTTGAATACCAACCCCCCTGCTTTTTGGGAAGGCAGACCTTGTCCAGGCTATAAGGTGAAACTTTTGGCTGTCTCCCACATCCTACCAGAGGAAGTTCCTCATAAGTCTCTCAAAGCGAGCAGAGACAGAGACCAGAATTTGGTAGATGAGATCATTCGAGAGGGTGGCCTTAATTAGTGTTTAGTGACCTGTCACCGACACAAATCTTCCTCTCCAAGCCACTTGTTTCCGATCAAACGTTTCAACAAAGGGGTACCATAACTGTTTCCACAGCTTACCAGTACAGAGAGGTAAACCCAGGCATTTAGTGGGCAGCAGGTCCACCTCGCAACCCAATCGATTGGCAAGAGCTTGGATGATCAGCGGGTCAGTTGCCACTCCCATAATTTGGATTCGGCCATATTGATCTTGAGTCCCATGGTGGCCTCCAAGCATCTTAGGAATATCCATAAGGTATCTATTTGTTGGTGGGTTGCATTCTAAAAGGGAAGAGTATTGCCGGCATATTCGAGGTGTGAGATCATTGGGCCGTGGTTGCCAACCCTAAAGCCTTCCACAAGACCTTCTTGGTATAGCCTTTCAAATTTTTCAGTTCAGGGATGGGTGGGTTACTGCCTAAAAAGAAAATTACAAATGCTCAAGATCTCACTCAAAGAATGGAGCAAAAACCTTCAAGGTAACTTTGGAATCTCAGAAGAAACCCTTTAACAACAATCAATGACCTAGATTTCATGTAAGAAAATAGGAACCTAACCTAGGAGGAGAGGGACCATCAAACCCAAGCAAAGCTAAGTATCATATGGTCATTAAAAAAGAGGAAACCTTTTGGTGCCAGTGCTCCAGAGTGAAATGGTTGAAACTAGGGGACCAAAACATTTATACAATAGCCAACTGTAGATGTCTCTACAATACCATTATCCAAATCAAAGTAGGTCCCCACCTCTATAATCAACCCCAAGAAGTCGATAGAGCATTTGTTGATTTCTTCCAAAACCTTTTTTCAGCCAAATGAGGTCCTAGACCGAAAACGACATCATCTTTTATCTCTCCCTTCCTGACAAGAAGGCCTCATGGTTGAAACGTCAATTTTCTGAAGGAAAGATTTTAAAAGGCCATCAAGAACCTCAGAAGGACAAAGCCCCTGGTCTTTAGCCAATTTTGGGAGTCCCTATGCACAAATATCCATGTTTTTTCCATGAATTCCACCAGATGGGAATTATCAATAAGGCCATGAATGCCACCTTCCTAGCACTAGCACCAAAAACATAAGCCAAGGATCTTAAGGACTCTAGGCCAATCAGCCTGCTCAATAGCTCCTTACCTCTCGCTAAGAGAGGTCCTCAACTGCATCATCTCCCCAAACCAGGGGGCCTTTGTCAAAGATAGACAAATCATAAAAGGGGCATTTATAGCCCACAAGTACATCCACTATAAGCATCCGTCAAAAATTTTGAGGGTTGTTATAAGGCGTGACTGGGAAAAGGCCTATGACAATGTGGATTTGACTCTCCTAGAGAAGATTCTTCAATAGATGGGGTTCGGTGGAAGTGGCGACAATGGATGCGGCATTGTATCTCAGCCCCTTAATTTTTTATCCTCATCAAAGGGTCCATCATCATCAATTGCTCCCCTAAAGGTGATTTCCCTTCTTCAAGGGATTGTAATGGAGGAGATCATCTCTCCCCATTCATGTTTGCTATTGTGACTGAGAGTTTTAGTGAATCTATCAAAAGCAAGGTTGTTAGAACTGGACTGCATCAACAGGTTTGAACTGGGAACCGGTGAACTGGTGCACTTTCCAGTCCGATCGGTAGTGTTGAACCAATTGGAACTGCAATCTGGTCATGGAAAGGTGGACCGGCCAGTCGAATATCAGGACTGGTCGGTCCACCACTAAACAAGCGGTCCATTAAAAGGTCGCTTTGAATTTTTCTTTTTGGGTTTTTCACTTCTTTAAAACCATTTAAAAGAAAGGTTTTGTTTTTTTTGTGGGGTGGGGGGGAAGGCCTTCATGCTTACAAAATCACAAACAGGTTAACTTTGGAAATCGAAAACTCTAGGCTCTCTCTTTGTGCATTTTTTAAAATTTTAGCTTATTAATTTCAGTTCCATTGAAGGGTTATTACAATTTTCAAGTGCCCCCAAAATACCATATAATAAAAAATGCAATAAGGGCTATTAATTTTGGTTCCTTTTTCAATTAGGTCTTTTCATTTCTTTTTGCTCTTTCTGTCACATTTTTAGTGTTTAAAATAAGGCTTTTATAAATTGTAACTTTGAAAAAATGAAAACAGAAAATGCTAAAAAAAAATTATTCATGTACTTTTATATAGTTTTATGTTTTAAAACTCAACTTTTAAGGGGCTTTTACCAAATACAAATTGTAAATTTGAAAAAGTCCTTAGAAAACTAGAACCCAAAAGGCAAAAAACTGAAAATGCAATAAAAGAAATGAAAGTTGCACTTTTTTCGGTTTTGAAATTGTTTAAAGGGTTTTTAAATTCTAAAATTGTAGGCCTTAAAAGGTAAGAACTTAAAATGCCAAAAAAAAAAATAATATATATATATATAGGGATTTTTTTATTTCTCTTTTTTGGCATTTTTGGTCTTCGAAGGGATTTTATTGTTTTACAACGTGTAAATGCCCTTTAATTTGAAAAAAGAAAATGCAAAATATATATATATATATATATATTTCTTCTTTTTTTTCTTTTTTTTAAAAGCATTTACCTTCCTAATTTCAATCGTTTTAACAATTTGCAAAAAAGCTCTTAAATAGTACAATCAGAAAAATGTGAAAAATAGGTAAAAAGGCTAAAAACTAGAAAACTATTTGTCTTCTTGCTTTTTTATATATCTTTGTTATTTATTTTCAGTTTCAAAATTTAATCTCTTTTATCGGTATTTCATATTTTTGGTTTTTTATATTTTATGCCTTTTTCCTTTGTTTTATTCATTTGTGGCATTTCTCCTCTTTTTTCTTTGTTTTTTTATTGTATGGCCTTGTCTGACTAGTGAACCAATCCAGTCTGGCCGGTTAGGCCAGACAGGTGCCCATACAGGTTCAACCATTGGTCTGGTACTGATAACACTGTTGAAAAGGAGTTCCACCATTCCAGAACCAAGTGAGGAAGGTTTGGTTTTTCGAACCAGCATAATTCAAATCTGACGGGTTTATTGGTTCCAGGAACATGTATGGCGTCTATGAGGATGGGTTTGTGGTCGGAAATAGGTTTTGGGCGGCGGAAGAGTGGGTTCCAGGTAAGAATTCATCCCACACAGTGCTAATGAGAAGTCTGTCCAATTTTAGGGAGGAGAGGTGGGAGTGGGTTCTAGGGAAGAATTCATCCCACTTGTGCTAATGAGAAACCTTTTCCAATTTAGAGAGGTGAGAGATGGTGCTTTAAGTACAACAATTATGGCACAAGCCCTTTTCCCCCATTTCCTGCTATGCAGAAGGCTCTTTCTCGTAAACTAGAAGTTGGAAGTACAAGAATACTTATCTGAAGGGAACATTTCCTGGGGAAAAAACTTACGCAATCGAAAATGCACGAGCACTGCCTCATGAATCCAAGTACAAGACATGTACATGAAGGCATACAAAAAAAGCAACAGAATTACTTGAGAACTTGAATCTTCGATCTTTCACTACGAGATCCGTAAACATCAAACTTTATGTCCAAAGATTGAGTGTTATCCCATCCAAGAGGTTATAAGGAATGACACCCACCCTAGGATGATATATTCTCTCTAGCTGGCATTTGAAAATAAACTATTGACCATAGACAGCATCGGATGACAATAATGCCTTAGTTACCTCTCACATCATCGAATGACGATAATGCCTTAGTTACCTCTCATGAAAGTTGGAAACAAAAACAATCACTCATCTATTGCACAATACAAATATACTGAGGAAGTGAGATTCAATGTGAACGGACTTAGGAACAATGTCTAAGGCACGTGAGTCACTCACACTTGGCCAGGTCACTTGGAACTGGTACCCTGCTGGTTCCAAGTGATCCTAACTTTGATAACCTAAGTTTTACATAAATTTGACCAGGCTGGAAAAAACAAGTTATTTTTTTGTCTTAAGTCTTGATTGGTCCGACTCGGGACTCACTGAATCAAGTTGGACTGGGCCCCACCCATTATAGTAACCAGTTACAGTTTTTTTTTTTTTGAAGGAATAACCGGTTACGGTTTTAAAAACACTATACAGGATGTGGTGGTCAAGTGTGTCCAAACCTGTCACTATTGATAATGCATGGCTCTCTTTGTTGGTACAATGCATGGCTTTGTCCTTAGTGCAGGCATGAAAGTATGAATGCAACAAGACATTTGTACTATAGTGGTGGTATCAGCTTTCCATGCTACTACAGTGCATCCCAGTGTGGTAGGACTCGCCTTGGGCTACTTGCAACTGGCCTGAGGAGACTTACTCAAGCAAGTCCGAGTGGACTTTGCCTGAGTCATACTCACCCCAAAAAATGAAAGAAAAAAAAGTAAAAATTATTAAACATTTAATAATAGGAAAAATAGAATATTAAACATTAAAAGACTACAAAAGATGAAAAAACTATGAAAGATGGATTATTTAAATTCTGATTTATACCATGAATACTTTAGAAAAATCAAAAAATAGAAAAATATAAAAAATTGGATCACGTGATAAGAAAAGTTCCCAAATCATCTTAAAAACCATCAAAAACATCTAAAAACATATTTCTAAATGTTCTTTTACTTTTAAAATTTTTATATTTTTTACTTTTGTTTTTTTGGTTGTGTGGACAGTTGTCCTAGAACTTGCCACAATTTGGCCAAGGCCATTCGAAGGCCGAGTTACTCGACGAGTCCGAGTGGACTCAACTAAGTCTTGCTACACCACTGTATCTTGAAAGAGAGGAACAATTGTATGTTTAAGACTAAATGTAGCAATAGAGAGATACCAATCAACAACAACATTAGACAAGACAAAAGCTCTTGGGTTCTTCTTTGCGCATGGACACTCGTGGTAAAGAGTTTACGATACCATAGGCCAATTTTTTTTTTGAGAGTTACCGTAGGCCAATTTTTCACAAGACCAATAAAAAAGAATTCCCTTGATCTTATACAAGCATACCAATGTCACAAAGATAAATGTCAATGGGGCCAACCAAACAAAACCAAAGCCTAGCAAGTTATGAAGACGTCATCAGAAATGCAAAAGAACTATGCTAAGATGCTTTGCAAGATCTTTGGGCAGTTAAGATGCAGAATAGGTAACAGTATATGAAAGGTATCAACATCTGACCAAGGTATATACTGGCCTAGTTACTATCGAAGGCAACAACCTTCAATATGATCAAATGGTTCTAATGAGATTCCCCACACATAGGAAAACCCGTAGCATTCCTAAGAAATTGAAGATATTTTACATTATTTTCATTAGTAGTTATTGTTCATCGCACAACGGTAGCTGATTCTGTGGTTGATGAGATGACTTTTGAGTTAAATAAGTTGGCAAACTTGAGGGTAAAAAAGTATGATTTAGGGATACAGGAACACCATAAGAGTTTCCTAATTATTTGTGCCTATTTGTGTCTTTTAAGAATCATTATTGATTACTAATGGAGAAAAAAGAATCATTGTTTAGAGGAACATTATTAAAAGATACGATCATTTACTTTTTTACCTCTAATAATAATTTTAGAAAATGGAATACAATGGGCATGATAAACACAAATTAAGATATTTATAAGTTTCATGAAAACCACCAAACATTAGTACCTACTGGTAGACTTCAATTGTTCCCGGAACTCCTTGAACTTGAGATTTCTCATGTTCTCAAAAGTAAAAACATATATGGAAGTGTACTCATCCAAGGCTTGCCTCAGAGAGTTCACAATCAATTCTTTATGCTCCCTCCCCTTTTTCTTTGTCTTTGACAGTGTCACTGCATTTAAGTGGTCAAAGTAAAATCCAAGTTAGCTTCAGAACTTGTACAAGTAAAGATTCTCCAGGAAAACAAAATAGCAACCAAAACACAAGAAAAATGGCAATTCAAGAAATCCACATATCACATATAAAATAATCTAAAATGCTTATTATTCATGACGAGTATATTGATACTGGATCTCTCACATATATTATAAATTCTACCTACAAACTAAAAAATTTCAACAATAACCTGGTCTATGATTGCAAGATTTCAAAGATCACAACTTACCATAGCACTGTATTCTTCCAAACACAAAGTTGCATGAAAAAACATGAGAGTGAACCACACTATAAATTGTTGCATAGTTGTTGGTATTGGGAGGGGATCAGGAGCATGGAACCATGATAAGGCTAGAAGCATGCTATGGTTGGGATCGTTGTCGTACATCCTAAATTTTAGGGATAGCAACCCAACTATGCTGGGAGCTGGATCCCAATATTTTGGGACCACATGACAAATTCTAGACGTCTGAGACCCATTTGGTAAAAGCATCTCTTTTCTATTTGAAGCATATATAGATCATGATTTTGCAACATAATTCCTTTGTCTTTTTCAATGGATATGAATTTAAGACTTGTTTCCTTGTAGAAGATTAATTAATATGAGTGCTTGTAGAAGAATAATCTAACACGAGTGTAATTTATATCAATGGATCCCTAAGGGATTTGGATCTTGTTCCCACCATATGGGAGCGAGATCCACCCAAGGTCCCACTCTGGGAGCATGGGATCGCTGCTCCCACCAAGTTGGGAGATCCAGGTAACTATGAATTGTTGCCAGGAAAGTTACAAGGACACAGCATAGGTACCAAATGCATTGGTAGTATCACAAATACAACTTTGGCAGGCAATCGTTGTAATATAAACCATTAGATATTGCTCACAAAGATACAATACAATCATTTGCCAATAGTTACCAAGGATTAGCAATGCTATGACCAGAACCTTGGAGTGAAATCACTCTAACACACATTAGAGACAATGATTACAAGTCATATGCTAGTTGTAGATAATGCTTGCTACTTATAAATCCAATTTATAAATACGAATGTTTACAACCTGAATCTGCTCAAGAATAATCCAACCTTTCACTGCATGCTCAATTTTGATCATAGGATATAAAAAATGATGACAGCTAACTATACGTAATTTTTTTATGCAATAATAAAATACATGCTAATTTTTTAGTTCATATTAAGGACCAAGGCATCATTAACTTTCAACTCAATATGGTGTCACTTGCAAAAGGCCGTGCAAAAATAAGAAACTATGCCCCCAATTCAACTTAAAAGAAAAAGATTCAGATGCATGACGCACATTATTTACTCGGAATGATGAATTGATGACTTGACAGACACCATGTGCACCAAAAAATAATAATGGGCAGAAAACCAATGCAACAAAAGAGCATGCTTGTGGGAAAACGCAGATAAAGATCATTGTAAACATTGATAAGTTGAAGAAACTAGAAAATTGCAGAAAAACATCCACTCACAAAGATATATTAATGAGTCTAACTAATTCAAACTGTTATCTTTATATTGGAAAATAAACCAAACAATTCCAGCCCAAGCATGAAGAAGATCCCATATAAAACCAAGGACTAAGGGAACACCCATTAGAACAATGGACTAAACGGACACTATTTGAAATGCAATCCCTAAATCTCAACCCCGAGCAATAGACTAACAAACACCACTAGTTGAACAGGGAATGTAACTACACAGGGTTGGAAATTTTCCCAGAAAAAAGGGAACTCACCAACTTTGTTGCGCTTGGACTTCGGCATTTCTAGTGATAGATGAAGAGAAGGAACTCTTTAGTAGCGTTTGATAACTTTCACTGCACTGTCTCTGGGAATCACCCCTGCTGCTGACTTTCCTAAATTCAGGGATGTAGGTGAAAATTAGAAGGTGTTTGATTAACTGTGGTGCTGGTAATTTCACCTGTTTGGGAATGGAAAAGCTGGAAACTGCCTGTAATTCTGTTCACTATGTATTTCATTGATACAACATATGAAATACAGTTTTTTTTAAAACATTTTGTAATTAAATATTGTTCATTATGCATCTCATTATGTATTTCATCGATAGTCCTCTGTCATGATATCATTTAAATATTAGCAGCATCGATTGGTATTAATGTGGAAAAACAAGAGGATCACCACGAACTACAAGTAAAGTTCCCAAGTGAACAATATCAATACAAGGAAAAAGGAAAGCGTGGAGCATTGAAGACTCAAAGGGGTTTTGAAAAACCATATAAGCTTGTGCATTTGAATGCCTAGCAACTTTAAGGACTACATCCATGAATTTCATCTCATTCAATATTACATATTATAATTAAATCATTGTAAATGTATGATCTATCTAAGGCACATCCACACCTCAATATACAACTCATTAAGCAAAGTTTGGATGCAATTATCAAGAAGCTAAGATACAAAATCAAATTATCCTAAGATATCAAAAAAGGACAATGGAGAAAAGGGCAGTCAAGGAAGTTAAAAATTTAAGAATTGGAAGCAACAATTTGGTCAAGCCAGGGGATTTAAGAATTTTTAAATGCGAATCAAAAG